ACATTAACAGGCGCCCAAAAGGGGTAAAATAGAGGGCGCTTGTTCAACGCGACCTGAGGGAAGGCTCGCGTTGACAGGCCTACACATGGGCTGGCCCAGGCTCGCTGGAGGGGACATTCTCAGTTTTTTTTTACGTTTTCTGTTGTCATTTTTGCTTTTATTTTTGTAGTTTTGCTTATACTCTAAAATATTATATATATATATATAAGCAGGAGCCTTAGCGCTTGCTTTACTAGTGTTCCTCTCATTCACTCTCTCATGCTGAACAATATTTAAGAAAAGATTGATCAAGTATTTAAGAAATGTTGAACAAGCATTTGGAAAATGTTGATCACACATTTCAAAAAATGTTGTACAGGTATTTAAACAATGTGGATCATGTATGTAAAAATGTTGAACAAGTATTTGTAAAATGTTTAATAAATATTTAAAGATGTTGAACAACTATTTTTAAAAATATTGTACAAGTATTTGAAAAAATATTGACCATTTATATAAAAATGTTGAACAAGTAATTTAAAAAATTGAACAATTATTTAAGAAAATGTTGAACCTATATTTTAAAAATATTGAGGAAGTATTTAAGAAAATGTTGAACAAGTGTTTAAAAAGTGTTGAGCAAGCATTTGAAGGAAAAACCGAAAAGGAAGAAAAACTCGAAGAAAAAAAGGAAGCAAAAAGTGAAAAAGAAAAAGGAAAACTAAACAAAAGTGAAGATGAAAAAAGAAAACAAAAAAACCCGAAGAAAAAGGAAAATTAAAATAGGAAAAACTGAAAACAAGTGGAAAACTGGCTTCGCTCGTCTCAACTACAGAACGCATCTCATACTTATCATGAGTGAGACTTGGGCGGAGTGGCGAGCAGGAATCGAATCCCGCTTCTCTCATATATTAAATTCCCACTTAAATTTCTTTTCCTGCACGAACATGGCCGACCTGATTACTCGAAACGCCTCAGTGAGACATCTGCGCCAAATTGGAGAGCTCCTATACGGCGCTGCAGGCACCCGTTCGCGCTCCTGGCGCCTGCAGCGCTCCGCGCTGGGCCAGCCCACGAACCGTGGTGACCAGTGAGCGCAAAAACCTCGCCACAAAAAATGGAAAATAAAACAGCTTTCTATAAGATTCGAACTCATCACCTCTTGTCGTGCCAACTGCCAGACGAGCTACTTGCTATTGTTGATTATTAACAGAGGCAAACGCATAATAACAAGGCTGCATCACTATTTTATTCATCTATTGTACCATTTAATTTTTTTGAATTAATTGAAAAAGTGATCGTGATTTTGATAAAAGTTCATTGATTTTCAAAAAAAACATCAAATTTGAAAAATGTTCACAAATTTTTAAGAGAAAAAAAAACAAATATGAAAAACATTCATCCAATTTGAAAAGAAGTTAATCAATTTTCAAAAAAGGTTTATCGGATTTAAAAAAGCATCATCAAAATCGAAAAAAGTGCACCGAATTTAAAAAAGTTCATCAAATTCGAAAAAGTTCATCAAATTTTTAAAAAGTTCATCAAATTCGAAAAAAGTTCATCGATTCTGAAATAAGTTCACAAATCTATAAAAGAGTTCTTCGTTTTTATTTTTTTGCAAAAAATGAGAAAATTTCATTCATTTGCAAAAGAAAAAGAAAACAAAAAAGAAACAGAAAAAAGGATAACAAAGAAAAGGAAAACCGGTCGTGATTTAGCCAAAGAATAGGAGAAAAATGAGCGACTTGTCACATGGAATGGGTTGACTCAAGTGGTTGCAGCGTTGCTACCCTATGGTATAGGTTGCATGTTTGAATCCTTTGCTGCACTTCCTTTTTTCCAGTTTTTACAGAAAAAGAGAAGGGAAGGGGAAGAAACTGGACCGGTCCAAAATCATGCAGAGGGTGTGCGCGCCCGTTAGCAAAATGCGCTGTAACGGGCGCCTGCAGCGCCAAATAGGGTTTGCCGCCAAATAGGACATGCCGCGTTGAGGAGCGAGAGAGGCCCGCGAAAAGGCCGGAAGCATATGGCCTGTAGACCCGTCCACCGCCTTTGTGCCACCAAAATCCGCTTCTTAGCCATCTTTTCGTATGGTGCACGGATCCACGGCCTGCCTATTCGAGGCCTGTACGTACCTGAAGCGGACTGGAGGGCCTGTTCCTACACCAAAAACTCCCAGTTCTTCTCTCTCAAGACAGGGCCCGCACGCCACGGACCGTATCTGAAGCGGAGTTGAAGTCCCAAACTCCCGATACATCTCTTCCTTCCTTTTTCGGCCGTCAGACATATATATATACTTTACCCCTGTGTTGCGATCGCAAAACCTCCCCAAAACCATCTAGGTCTTCCAAATCTCGCATCTCCAACTCCGATCCAATGACGCCAGCCCCAAGAAACCCCTTCTCGTCGGGCTTCCCGCACGCCGACGCCCACGCCGCCCAATCGACGCCAGTCCCGACGTCTCCTGATGGCATCTTCCAGAGATATCTCTTGCCGCTGAAGAAGAGGGCGACGACTGCGAGCGACGGCAGCAGCGCCGACGATTCATTCGTGGTCCCGCCGAAGAAGAGACGGGTGGTGGACACCGGGGGCGAGGGCACCTGCACCAGCGCGATCCCGGTTCAGAGCCGGCCGAGGCGAACGGCGGCCTGCAACGTTGCGTACGTGAGCATGGAGGAAGAAGTAGCCGGGACGTCAGCGGCCGGGGCGGCGGGATCAAAGAAGAACAGGAACAGGAGCAGGAATAGCAGTAGAAAGAACGGACCGCGGCCGGCGCGTGACGCCGCCCCGCTGGTCAACAGGCCGCTGCACCTCAGCGAGGCGCAGCGGCAGCACCTCGAGACGCTCGGCGCCACGGCCCCGCAGTTCGTCATCATGAAGAGCCTCCAGATGAGCGACGTGGACCGCAACCAGAACCGGCTCCTCTTCTCGTGCAAGCGCGAGTTCCTCGAGGGCCACCCCATCACCGGCATCTTAGCCGAGAAGGAGACGCGCCACGTGCACCATCACCGCGGGCTGAGCGTGGTTGTCCAAGACGACCACAGCAACCAGTTCAATTTCACGCTCAAGTACCTCGACTCCAACGGCGGGTACCGCTTCATTGGCACCGGCTGGAACGACTTCGTGTCCAAGAACAAGCTGGTGAAGGACGATCTCCATTTTGTCGTCGAGGTGTGGGCGTTCCGGTCGCCGGAGCTGCCCGCGCAGCCCAAGGTTCCCGGCATCGAGGGGCTGCAGGGCCACCCTGACGGCGCCCTCGGGTTTCTCCTCCGATTACATCACGACGAGAGCAGGGACGTCCACCGCGGCGAGGAAGAAAGGGAGTTTGCGCCGCGGCCGGTTCAGAAGAAGAAGAGACAGGCGCCGGCCAAGGCGGTGCGATCAAAGAAGCTTGCGGGTGGGCATGTGAGTCAGGGCCAAGCCGTGGCGAGGGACGTGACGAGGGCTGAGATAGTTGAGGCGGTTGGGGAGGAAATGGCGGATGCGTTGTTCGGGCTGTTGATGCTAAGGTCCAGTGGGCCCGTTCCGATGCTTCCCTTTGAAAAAACATCGACTGCTCAGATTTGCTAGGACAAGAATTTGACGCATAACACTCGGACCGTATCGCACGCACATGTAGACTGTGCGATTTCAAATGGCTCCCAAAGATTTGGGTCCTATAACTTTTACAATGTGAATCATTAATTTAGATAGAGTAGTTGTTCTCCGTCTTCTAAAATAAGAGTTTTAATCTCCATATTTGCCGTGTCCTTATTTTCAAACAACAATACCATCCCGAGCGTAGCTTCAACTAGATCATCGCTTTCTTTCAGTTCCTTAGTTTCCTGAGAACCAAATTCTCTGTGCAGCTAACTAAATTCTATTCAAATGACGTTTAAGATACGCCGAGGCCAAACAGGGAAGGAAGAATGACAACTCACCATTTTCCTAAAAAGGGCAAAAGACTTGCCGCATTCATCAATTAAGAGAATTATGAACAATTTGGCGCCCGAGGTCGAGGACCGGTCTTACAAAAACCTACTCTTCGGCGTGATTGATGTGCACCCTTCGGCTTGGGTGGCTGTAGATTTGGTGAAGACTTTGTGGAACCTAATTGCTTCCAACATGCCGCAATCTAGGCGGGCAATGATGCCTCTTTGTGCTTATCTCGTGGGAAATTTGAAAAGAGAGAAATACCCGTGTCTACCATGACACTGCGGTGCTGTCTCGTGGTGGCAAAGTATTTGAGTAATGTGAGGTGGTGTAATTCAGCCTTTGGACAAAAACCTCTAAACCTTCTTATTCAATGGAAGTGGCGAATATTTTGCCCAGTCTTTGGAAAAAAAACTCTGGCATGGTATTACACAAATGGGTTGCACCCGCAAACCCCCAATTATTTGCCTTGCACCATATCGTAGACATGATTATGGTTGACGTTGCAAACTTGTTGCCGAAGATCCTTGCATTCCGCTCGTTTCAAAGCTCCCACGCCACCACAGCACGCCATGTCTAACATGGGAAACAATGCCACACGGTGCTACCCTTCTTACAGCTAACGGCATGGACACAACACAATCATGGCGGGCACCAACACGGTGCTTCAAGAAGGTGGCAGCACATACATTTACCGCAACATGGCCCGGAACCATCTACTTAATGCTAGAACAATGAAGTTTTACCATGCATGGAGCTCTCCTCTATCCTCGCTCCGTTCCAAGTTCCAACCCCCGAAGGCCGGCCATATCCTCGTCCAGCTCTGGGCCTGCTTATGCTTTGGTGTTGACGCGTCGTTGTCCTATGCTTGCTGTGACCAGGACGCGAACGAAGTGGCCGCGCTCTGGCGTTCATTTACCAGGAGATGCCGACGGAAATGCAAGCAGTAAACTTTCCATATCAGCCGCTCTGCCTCCTGCGACCGAGGCAGCCAGCTCTATTGTTCCTAACGTAAAAAACCACCGAGACTCCAGAGCCCGCACGGACAACGATGATGGACTGACCAAACGTGCGCGCCGCCCCAGTAAAGTAAAGTTGAGCTGAGCAGCACCGCGGCCAGGCCTGCCACCGCTACTGCTACTGCTAGCTAGTGGACTGGGCGCCGGGCGTCACCGGCGGCATCAGCGCGCATGCATGCATGCACGGCTGCGCGTCGATCAGGTGATTCAGGCTATGGCCCTGAGCGAGCGGAGGGCGATGAGAGGGAAGGAGACGTCGCCACCGGCTGGTCGATCGCTCGATCGATCCCCAGTTTTGTCCCATGCCCATCAATTAGCCAGCCCTGGCCGCCGCCGGCTGGCAGCCTGCCGCCCTGCCCTGCCCTGCGCGCCTCCCTCCATCATCTTGCGTGCATTGCCGCTGCGTCTGCGACGCTCCTGCGACTATGGGACCATGCATGCATGTATATACGCGAACGTCACGGCCATGACTGGGGAACGGCAGGCAATGATGAAAACGACAACGGCCGGGCCACCCGCCTGGGACGCGCCATGCATATGCTGATATACGTGCCTCGCTCATGCGGAATTTCTTCTCTTCTTACCAAGCTGCCACGCACCCATCACTGGCTAGATGGCTCATGGCTGTGCATGCTTCCGTCTTCTACCATCACAAATTCGTCTCCTAGCGTTGCTCATGCTTGAGCGTACTTGGTTGGCCTCTGGGGCTATACGTACCTGGCTACCTATGTTCGCTCCACCAAGCTACGTGTGTTGAATAAAGACTAGCCTCCGGTTGCTGGTCAATTATACTAGGTGCTATTGTTTCTTTGTACACTCAAGAGAAGATTATGTACTTACTATGTGTAACTGAGATTCAAGTGATAAGAGGAGAGGTATTACGAAATATCAGTATGACAGGGGCCTAGTATTGGTGGCCGCTCTTGCCGCAATGTTCCCACGTACTCCATTTCTCAGCCTTGCAATAGAGAAGCTGGCAAGGGACTAGACCGTAAATGATTAGATCCCAAGACGCGGCATTGTTAGGCTGGTCATAGTGGAGAGTAATTTAGAGCATTACTAGTAGAGCCCTCAAACCCCCAAACCCTTAAAAATAACTGCTTTTTTACAGTTTTCGTCGAAAAAAGCCGTAGACTAGAACCCCTTAACCCTCAAACCCTCAAAAAAATTTAAAGGTCCAATCCTCAAACCCTCTCACAATCCTCAAAAGTAAGGTTTGGGGAGCAAAACCTACCCCAACCCTCATTTGGCGGTTATCCTCGCGCGGGAGGGAAAAATCCTCCCAACTCCCGCACCCACGCCCGCGACCGCCGCTGCTAGTCGCCCCCGTCGCCGGCGGCCACCCCGTCGACCTCCCGCGCGCAACGACAACGTCGTTCATGGGGAATATTCCGTTATAAGGGTTGGGTTTGAGGGTTCTAATCTTTGCCCCTGTTTTTCAACCCATAAAAGTGCAAAAAAGATCATTTTTGAACCCTTAAAACGCTAGTGAGGGTTTGAGGGTTCTACTAGTAATGCTCTTAGGCTAGTAACATGCATATGTTACTGGTCTATGTTACTACCTTCATAGTGGGTAGTATCATATATGTGGTAACATAGATGTCTTCATTTATTACTTTATAGACTCATTTTGCATTGGAAAACGCTATGTGATGGTAACATATTATGTTACTCTATTTGCCTCTCTCCTCATTAACTACTTATCACCTCATCATTTTTGCTTATGTGGCACCTATGTTACTCCCACTATGACCAGCCTTAAAGCAAACAATGATGTATGGTAGTTAGCACTGATTGGGTCTTAACCTCAATTAGGGAGCTAATGATTCGGCGTGAAATTGACCTGCTTTGAGCATAAGGGTGCTAGTTTTTTTTTCTAAAGATACTTTTGTCCATCTTGCTGATGATGGGCAAGAAAAGTACACATGCTACTAGTGCAGGCACTGCGCTGCACTGCATCCACGCAGTCCCTACCAGCTGGAGGCAGAAATCACATATTTGACCTGAGGACGAAATCAAATCACAAACTGACCTGGTTAAGAAAAAATTTCACTCTGCTGACCCTTTGGTGTGGCGCCGACAGCTGGGCGCCGCACCCTACTGTGCAGCGCCCATTACTTAGGCGTCACACTTCCTGCCAGTGTGGCAGCCCTGGTCCAGTTGCGGCCCCGCACGCACCTGTGCAGCGCCTAAGGGATAGGCGCCACACTGTGACGTGCAGCGCCTATACCTTAGGCGCTGCACAGTGACTTAAGCGCGGCCGTCCCAGCCCGACCAGGCAGTTTCTTCATTTCTCCGCTCTCTGGACAGAGAGCAGCGGCGGCGCCCCCATCTAATCCCCCCCCCCCTCATCCCTCTTTGATCTGAAGATTTGATCCGTGGATTCGATCCCCAATCCATCCTACTAGGTAAACTCTTCCGTTCTCTTTCTTTTGCTCCGTAAATTTGTTGCCATTTTAGAGATTTGTCCAAGATTTGATGGAACCCTTGATTTGTTTGATTTGCTCGATTTAGGATGTGTATTCATATTGGTAGTACCGTAGTGTTATTTATTTGTTAGTGAAACCCTAGATTTTTTAGTTTTTTTAGATATATATGAGATGCCTATTTTTATAGATAACTATGAGATGTTGATTTTTGTAGACATATATGAGATGTTTGTTTAGATATATATTAGATGTTGAGTTCATTTGAAATATTAGATGTTTAGTTTATTTGAAATATTAGATGTTTAGTTTATTTGAACACATATGACATATTCATTGTGTGAGAAGGAGATGTTGAGATTCTTTTAGTTGAACACATGTTATATATTTAGTGTATATTTGAGATGAAGATGAACTCATGTATGTTTATTGTTTGAAATTGTAAGGATGGTTTGGCTTCTGGACGATGTCTACGACGTGCAACACCGGTCCTACATGATGCGCGAGAAGGATAAGGTAATAATGAGTAATCTAAATCTTTTGCAAATTTGCATTTAGTTGAAATTTACATGCCCTAAGATTTGTCATTACTTGTTTTTTGCAGAAGCTTGAACCTCTGAAGATTCGGTATCACGGGGTCTCTGGTCCTGCCATGCCTTACGACGAGCGGTACACACCGTACATCAAGCAGGCAGGACTACTCCCGTGGATTCTGTTGGTCAGCCGGTCCACGGCGAATCTGAATGCTCCACTGGTGTCCGCTCTTGTTGATCGATGGAGGCCGGAGACGCACAGTTTCCATCTTTGGACTGGGGAGATGACCGTGACGCTCGAGGATGTCTCGTTGATCACCGGTCTTGCTATCGACGGGAGGCCTCTCTGTATGAGCACCGATTCTGATGGGTGGCGCGAGCAGATGATTGCTCTTATCGGTATGGCTCCTACCAAGGCCGAGGCTGATGTAGAGGAGGGAGAAGAGAAGAAGAAGAGGGAAAGGAAAGCAGCCGGAGCTGCTTTCACGTGGATTCAAAATAACTTTGCGACGTGCCCTCCGGATGCCACTGATGGGGTGATCCAGACACATGCTCGTGTGTATATGTGGTACGTTGTGTCTAGGACTTTGTTTCCTGACTCCACTGGCAAGAACGCTCCATGGATGTGGCTGAAGGCGTTGACCGTCTTCGATAGCAAATGGAGCTGGGGTTCAGCGACT